TGAACACAAGACTCCAGACCCTGAACACAAGACTCCAGACCCTGAACCCAAGACTCAAGACCCTGAACCCAAGACTCAAGACCCTGAACCCAAGACTCAAGACCCTGAACCCAAGACTCAAGACCCTGAATCCAAGACTCAAGATCTCGAACCTGTTGAAAAAATGGTAGATGGCCAGCCTCAGGAGGAAATTGTTCCAGACTTTACAAATGTTTCCAAAGAAGGTTGTACAGACTGTGATGAGAAGGATGGTGCAGACACTGAGTCAAAAGATGACTCCAATGCTGACACATCCACCTCCCCAGATTTGGTTTCTGGGACTCCACAAAAACCCAACAGCCGGCGCCAGTCTTTCATCACTTTGGAGAAATATGGTGAGGGAAAGCCTGCTACCCCTAGCAGTGTGTCCTCTTTTACAGGTCCTCTTGAAAAGATCTCCAACAGTCCAAATCATTGTAACAACACCACCACATCCACAGAGGCCTCCCTAAAGTCTACGAGTCCAAACTCGCAGGATCTGGCTCAGATGGAAAAGGTGAGTCCTCAGTGCTTCATGAGTGAGTCCCCTCGAAGGCCTAAAGATTCTAAGACAAAAAGTGAACCAGTAAGACTGATTGAGAGACTGCCAGGTGACCCGGCAGAGGATAAAGACATCATTCCTGACACACAGACTGGGTACATTGAAAGTACAACTGTGGCAGAAGAAGTCGAGGGGGAATCTGAACCAGTGCTGGATGAGTCTCAGTCCTCTGAGACCCCAGTGTCACCAGATGAGCCAGGCACATCCAGAGGCCACAGAGTCAGAGCTCCTGGAGAAGATTCTGAAAACACACACTTCAAACGTAAACTTCCTGGTAAAGATATCAAAAGTGAATCTCCAAAGACGACGCTTAGCAGACCAAACACAAGAAGCAAACAGGCGGCGGAGGAGAATCGGGGCAAAAACCGACTTCGCTCATGGTCTCTGAGCAACTCGCGAGAAAGAAATCAACCCAGCTCTCGGGGTCGACTTCGTAAGAAAATCAAATTCTTCAGTAGATCAGGGAACTTTCTTGACGATCCTGAATCCAAAAGCAGTACCAACACACTTGTGTCCAGCCAGACCAACAGCGGATCGGAAACCCTTCCTAATCCTGACTCCCAGAAAAGGCGTGGTCGCCCTCGCAAAATCTCAAAAGAAACCAAGAACGAAAGTGAAAACGATTCCGAGTCCAGCCAGGCCTTTGAAGGTCTCTCAGATTTGAAAAATGAACAAGATGCTAATTCACAAAGTGACTCCCAGAAACTTCTCATCTTCCCTCAAACTGACGATCAATCTCAAGACCCTGAAGTTAAAACGAATGAAGAGGAGAAGCCAAAAGAAGAGGCCAAAGCTGTTTCATCTTCACCTCACAGGGAGGGAGAGGTCCAGGAAACAGATTTTCAGGAAGTCGCACCTCCAGCTGATGAGTACCAAGATAACACGAACAAGTTGGAGCGTGAGAAAAGGAAAGAAAAAGAACACCAGACCACAGAGACTTTGGAAGAGGCCTTCAACCAAGACGGCTCTCAGGTAATACCATCATCATCTTCTGAAGATCGTCTTAAACTTAGATCCACACGGAGCCGAGTGTCATCTGAAGACAACAGTGACAGGACCATTTCTCTACGACGGCGGAGAAATTCTCACGCTTTACTGCTTTTTGATACTCCGGCTGAAGCTGAAACTGGAGGCAGGACCAGAAGGAGCAAAGGGTCAGAATCCAGTCCTGCCGTCACCCCTGACGGTTCCCAATCACAAGAGTTTTCTGGATCAGAGTCGTCCCAAGGTAGAGGCAAGTATTCAAGACGAAGAGCTTCTCCAGCAGCCACTTTGGAGTCCACGGAGTCTGAATCCTCTGAAATCCAGGAACATTCCCCTATTCCCAAAAAAAGAGGTAGGAAGCCCAAAGTGTCTCTGCAGAGTCCTCTTTCCCCTAAATCTGTTGAGGAAACACGTGATCTGGAAAAGGCTGGTTCTTCTCAAGAGGCTGATCAGATGTTGGGTGCAAAGGTTGAAGCCCAAGATGTTCAGATACTGCAGCAGGTCAGAGGGGACATTAAAGACCACAGTGAGACGGAGTCACAAATGGTGACAGAAACTCAAACCAGAACAGACCCAGAGCCGAGCACCAAGTCTCTGGGCAACACCGAACAAAGCACATCTAATCCAGGTGGGGACAGTAGTCCGTCACTGGACAGAGATGTCTTAGAACCTGTTAGTCTTAGTAGTAAATCAACCAAGGACTCTTGTTTGTCCACTGAAGACCCTCCGTGGGCACTTAATGAGAAGCTGGGAGTCACAAAGTTGTCCAAGAAAAAGGTTGAAGAGCTACCATCAGAAGAAAAAATGGAGTCCAATTCAGACCACCAAGATCTTTCAGATGCTCCAGAACCAGCTCAAGTGGGACATTTGCAAATCCAGAAGTGTGCACATGGCAAGGAGAATGAAGACCAGTCCTTAGACCTTCCTTCTGACGGAAGAGCTGAGAAAAACATTTGTCTTCAAGAGAATGATAATCTCTGTAGAAGTACGGCAATGGAGAAGGAAAAAGAGGTGACCACCACCAACGTGGACCGTTCAGATTCTGCCATAGCTGACTGCAAGCCTTTGGAGCCTTCAGAAGCCATGATCCAGGACTCTCCAGTAAAACGGAAAGACCTGGAGGCTGGAACGGGGCCAGATGTTGGACAAAGTCCCAGCAGTGGACAGACCAAAGGAACATGGTCTCCTTTAGCTTCCCCTTCAACCAGTATTCTCAAGAAGGGCCAGAAAAGGCAGATCGAAGTGGAGATGACCTCTCCTCTGGCCAAGGTAATGAACACAACTCTGGGTCAACACAGATCTGGACTTCCTGTTTGTGAGCTTCGTTTCTGTTTAACTCCACAGTCCCGGCGTGTCTCTTTCGCTGATCCAATCCAGCAGCAGGAGATGGCCGATAACATCGATCGCCGCACCTCTGTCAGAACGAGCTCCCCCAGGAGGACCAGTGCCAACAGCGTCCCACAGCCGAAGGTCTGCACGCAGTCATGATGCCGTTTGTGTGAAACAGATGATCTTCAACAACCGTCTTGTTCCAGCAGGTCACGACTCCAGTGAAGTTGATGAGTCCAAGAAGTCCGCAGGGTTCCAGCAACAGGCGCTCCAAGAAGTGTTTGGTGCGTATACTTTTTTTTTAAGGTTTGTGGCAAATTTGAAAGTCCAGAATTAAAACGTAACGTTTTATATTTTGGTAGGATTTGGGGAAAGTACAACCTGGTATATCTCTGTAGTAGAAGAACGAGTCCCAGTGTAACGAATACTTTGTAACTCAAGCAAATGAGACAAAGTGACACGACGGCCCCGTTGACCTCTTTAAACAACAATAAAGGTTAAATCATGTCATATGGACCTCTTCAAACAGGAACTTTAAACTAGCACAGTTTAATTACAGGAGCTTTTTCAGAAGAAGGGATTTTCTCAGGAACGCTTTGCCGATGATGCCATGTTGTATTTCTGAACCAGCGTCGTTGCACAAGTAACGTTAAGTCCCGCCTACTCCCCATGATGTCACATGACAAAAAAACAAATGCTAAAAAGATCATAATAGACCCATGTGGGTGATTGAAAGAACTGAGTGAAGGGTTTATTGTGTTGGGCCGTCCAGTGTTGGGCCGTCCTGTGTTGGGCCGTCCTGTGTTGTACGGTCCTGTGTTGTACGGTCCTGTGTTGGACCGTCCTGTGTTGGACCGTCCTGTGTTGGACCGTCCTGTGTTGTACGGTCCTGTGTTGGACCGTCCTGTGTTGGACCGTCCTGTGTTGGACCGTCCTGTGTTGGACCGTCCAGTGTTGGACCTTCCAGTGTTGGACCTTCCAGTGTTGGACCTTCCAGTGTTGGACCGTCCCGTGTTGGACCGTCCCGTGTTGGACCTTCCAGTGTTGGACCTTCCAGTGTTGGACCGTCCTGTGTTGGACCGTCCTGTGTTGGACCGTCCTGTGTTGTACGGTCCTGTGTTGGACCGTCCTGTGTTGGACCGTCCTGTGTTGTACGATCCTGTGTTGTACGATCCTGTGTTGGACCGTCCTGTGTTGTACGGTCCTGTGTTGGACCGTCCCGTGTTGGACCGTCCCGTGTTAGACCTTCCAGTGTTGGACCTTCCAGTGTTGGACCGTCCTGTGTTGGACCGTCCTGTGTTGTACGGTCCTGTGTTGGACCGTCCCGTGTTGGACCGTCCCGTGTTGGACCTTCCAGTGTTGGACCGTCCTGTGTTGGACCGTCCTGTGTTGGACCGTCCTGTGTTGGACCGTCCTGTGTTGGACCTTCCAGTGTTGGACCGTCCCGTGTTGGACCGTCCCGTGTTGGACCGTCTCGTGTTGGACCGTCCCGTGTTGGACCGTCCAGTGTTGGGCCCTCCCGTGTTGGACCGTCCAGTGTTGGACCGTCCAGTGTTGGACCGTCCCGTGTTGGACCTTCCCTTGTTGGACCGTCCCGTGTTGGACCGTCCCGTGTTGGACCGTCCAGTGTTGGGCCCTCCCGTGTTGGACCGTCCAGTGTTGGACCGTCCTGTGTTGGACCCGTCCTGTGTTGGACCGTCCTGTGTTGGACCTTCCAGTGTTGGACCGTCCAGTGTTGGACCGTCCAGTGTTGGACCGTCCAGTGTTGGACGCTGTTCTGTCTCCAGCTTTAACTTCCTGCTTAAACATGTCGACATGCTTGGTCCCGACTTGAGGCGCCATGTGAACCGTTACCCGTGTTTTCGTCACCACCCTGTTTCGTGACAAGAGTTTACGTTGACTGACGGCCTCTGAGGAAATTTCATTATATTCAAGAGTCTCTTCCAGAATTTTCTCTCGTCTCAGAGCAGCAGCGTTAATACTTTGTAACAAACAAGTTGTTGGTAACTTTGTAATGTTCCTGCTGTCGGGCGTTCGTCACTCGACAAAGTTGTTCCTCTGAAAAACGATGTTGTCAGAGGTTCTTTGGAACGATCAACTAGAAACGAGTGATTTTAATTCACTTATCTTGTGGGAGAACAATCGTTTTGTGAGGTTTTCTTGGTCTCTTTTTTCCAGCAAACATGTATTTTTTTAAGTAGTTCTTATTTATTTTCCACGCAGATGTCTGAAATGATTCAGGAGCCCCGGCCCGTCCCTGCAGACTGCATCTACCCGGCTCTGGTGGGCTGCCCCGCCCCCGTGGAGGCTGTGCTCACGCAGATCTCCTCCACGATGTGGTGAGAACTGAACACCTCCGATGAAAACCGTCTCTCAGCCCTTCTTTTACCGGCACACACAGCTGAAGTGAGACTGATTTCTGTTGGTTCTCCTGGCAGGTCTCGAGGCTTCGGGCTCCTCGTTCGCTCCAGAAAGATCAAAACGGTGGGCGACCTGAGCGCCCTTGCTCCTGCTGACATCAAGACTTTGCCCATTCGGTCTCCAAAGATCTCAAACGTAAAAAAGGCTCTAAAGGTCTACGAACAACAGGTAAACAGGTCGCAACACAACAACACAGCACCTTTTTTGTGAAGTGTAATAAATAAAGTCCATTTGTTTTTGTCTTGAACTTTTGTTGATTTGGTCATTATAGCCACGTTTACCTATTACATGATACAACGGCATGCCATACTTCTATTAGTACTCTGCTGCCATCAAGTGGCTGAAAGTGGTACTGCTCAAATTTTTATTTTTCTGTCGGAATGAATGAAAACAGTTTATAAATATGAAAACAAATCCATAAATACGTTGCTTCAGCCTATAAGTCGCAGGACATGTACGTTTTGCAAACAACTGCGACTTATAGGCCGAAAAATACGGTATGTGTTTTTTTCCATGTTATGCTTTAAATTTTCTGAATTCCATGTTTTTAATCTAAACTTTTTGCCTAAAACATTTTATTATGCAGTGGATTAATAAAACGTCATTAATAAATGGCAGAATATCCCGAATTTCATGAATATTGACTAATTTTGACAAATATGCAGCAAAAAGTGTTTTCGTTTAACAGAACATTCTTTAATTTGGTAAAAAGATATTCAAAATCTGCTTTAAGTAATTTATAAATTAAAATAACCTGCAATATAAAAGACAGATGAGACGCTCACAGCTGGATGTGACGAAATAGTTTTTATTTTTTCAATATTATTGTTTTTTTTTTAAATGTAAGTTATCCTTTATGATAGTTTGGACCAACAATTTACATGAAAACTATGAATTAGCTTTATTACACAGCTGTACGTAGAAATTATCGTTTCTTTGTAGTGGCCTAAAGCCAATAAAGATTAGTCTTTGACCGCCCTGATCATTTTATAGAGCTACGCTTTCTAGTTTTTATAGAACGCTGCTT